ATGTCAGCGCATCGTGTGTGTGTGTGTGTGTGTGTGTGTGTGTGAGAGAGAGAGATGTGGCCTCACTGAAGGGAAGACAGATGAAGGACCAGAAATGAGCGCGAGCAGACGGACAACAGTTGGTGTGTGTGTGTGTGTGTGTGTGTGTGTGTGTGTGTACCTGAGTGTGTGTCCAGGTCCTCGCAAAGATAGAAACAAGAATCAGAGTGTGTGTGTTTCTGTGTTTGAATGTGTGTGTGTGGTAGTTAATGCTATCAAAGTGAGGACACAGATAGAAGACCAGAGGAATGGAAACAGGGAAACTGGTTTGTAGATATTTTGGGACGTGAGTTCAGAAATCAGGGACAGTTTAGGAAAACGGGACACGTTCTGGAAGAGAAGGAACTTCTGTTTCTGGGAACATTCTGCACCTGTGAGGACATTTTTTGGGGCAAAAGGAGAAAACTTTTGGGAAAAATGTGCGACTTGCTCAGAAGACCTGGAAATCTGCAGAGGAGACGTTTAGGTGGTTAAGTCGGCATATTGTGGTAAAACTGAGACATGTGTGGCTGCTGCAACATGTTTAAGGAAATAAGAGATATTTTAGGAACATGGGAACGTTGAGGGAACGTTCACACACATGAAAGTTTTGGGAATTATGGAGGAGAGTCGAGACATTTCTTTGGGAAAAAGGCCGTTTTCTGGGACATTTTTTGGGGTGAAAATTTGTGACATTTTGGAAAATTAAGTAAAATTTGGGAAATTTGAAACAGAAGAACATCTGTTTCAAACGTCAGCACATCTGTCGGGAGCATTTCTGGAAAATTATGGAATATTTAGAAAAAGAGGAGAAAAATGTAGGAAAGTGTGGAAGTTTGTTGGGAAGATGTGGAGGTTTTGGGGAAAGAAGAATCTTTTTAGAGGTTCTGGAGATTGTTGTGGAATCAGAACAAGACGAGGTTCTGGTGAGAAATCATTGAGTCTCCACGGTCCTCACAACAACAGAGAGACCCACATGATTGATGGTGTGTGTTTGTCTTTGTGTGTTTTGCTGATAATTGAATCCCGGTGAGATCATCAATAATCAATACTGTCTGTCCACCTGCACACTGACCTCCCACCTGAGTGTGTGTGTCTGTGTGTGTTACTGTGTGTGTGTGTGTGTGTGTGTCACCCTCAGCTCAGAGTGTGTTCTATCTTTTCTCTCTTTGAGCCAATCAGAGCTCAGATCTGAGCCCTGTCACTAGCCCCTCCCCCCTGTGTTCCAGGGAGCAGTGCATGCTGGGAGCTGCGGTCTGCTCACCGAGGTGTTCTGACACTGGATGCAGGACGAGTTGAAGCGGACCGCCGGGATCCTCTGGACCTTTCCCTGGATGCTGAACACGCACTCGTAGTTCTTCTGACCCGACTGAGGCTGCGGCAGGTTCCGGGCTCGCAGCGTGATCGGACGGACCATCCCGGCCGGAACCAGGATGTCGGAGGTGGGGAGGATCTGAGGACAGCCCTGCAGAGACAGAGACATGGAGGTCAGCAGGCGGCCAGCAGGGGGCAGCAGGGAGAGGAAGTCAGCCGGCTTCAGTGACGTCACCGTGGAGACGGAACCACCAGAGGATGGACGAAAATACAACAACAACAACAACAACAACAACAACAACAACAACAACAACAACAACAACAACAACAACAACAACAACAACACTGATGTTTCCTCAGATATGAGCTGACTTTTATAAAACGTCCTTCACGTGTCTGCACTTTAAAACATTTCCACAACTTTACATCCAAATGTCTGAAAAGAAAAACATCACCAACCAAACAGGTTCTCATATTCCAAAAATGTCCACATTTATAAAAATAAATACATACATTTAAATCTAATTTTCTAAAAATGTTCCAGTTTTTCAACTGTTTCCCTCCAAAAAGTCGGTTCTTTGTAAAGTCCTTATCCATCAAAAATGATCCAGTTCCTTTAAAACTGGTTTAACTAACGTCCCCGCCTCCCCTAAACGTGTCCTAAAATGTCCTCATGATAAAAACGTCCTCATGATAAAAACGTCCTCATGATAAAAACGTCCTCACTGTTCCTTCTATTTCCACTTTCATAAAATGTCCCTGCTTCCCCAAAATATCAGAATTTTATGAAAATGCTCCTATTTCTAAATGTTTTTGTAATTTTCTAAAGTTGTCCCACTGTCACCTTAAAACACAACAGAAAACAATTATTTTTCCTCAAAATGTCCACACTTAAAAAAAAAAAGCAAAGCGGTCCAAACTTCCATTTTTACTTTCATTAAACTTTCCCCATATTTCCAGCGTTTATAAAACGTCCCCACGTCCCTGAAACGTCCTCATTTCCCAAAAATTCTGTCCAAATTAAAAAAAAATAAAAAAAAATCATAACTTTCTAAAAATGCCCACTTTTCCAAAAAAAAAAGTCTTTCCTTCACAGAAACTTTAGAATTAGACAAAAACAGCTGATATGCTGACTCGTCACATCGTCCCCACGTTCACAACAAGCCTCCACAATAAAACTTCATCACTTTTCCTGATACGACCCCACGTCTATAAAAATGTCCTCACTTCCTAAAAATGCTCCCAAACATCCTCAGAGTGTCTCCCAGAGGTTTGAGTGAACATCTGTCCACACACACACACACACACACACACACACACTCTGTATCTTATCTCAGTCTGTCATCTCTGAGTGTGGACGGAGACTCTGGACGAGTGTGTTTGTGTGTTCAGTAATGGACAGCTGGTGACAGATACACACTTCCTGTGGCTGCTGGAAACACACACACACTCTCACACACTCTCACACACACACACACAGACACACACTCTCAGTGGGTGAAACCTTTATTAACAGCGTCACCGCGGTAATTAATTGGCTGGTGACTGACAGGACGACCATTAGCTCCACAGGGAGTGGACCGAACCCAGCGGACGCCAGCAGCCACCGCCGAGGACAGGAGTGAGTTAGTGTGTGTCTGTCGCTGTGTATCGGTGTGTGTGTGTGTGTGTGTGTGTGTGGTGTTTGGGATAAAGGCCAACTGTGGCTGCGAGTCTCTGCAAACATTAACTCAAACACTCATCATCAGGCTGAATGTTGGACTCAGAGCTGTCGTCATGTTTCCATCACGGCTCCCAGAGATCAATCAGATAATCAATAAAAACCTCACCGATCGTTCTGGTGTCGGTTCTGGTGTTGAAGCAGCTGAGCGACGGGCTGCAGTGGTCAGCCCAACCCTAACCCGCTCAGGTGCATCACACACTCCAGGGGTTCTACCTAAATACGACACTTCAGCTTTAATTTCTCCTTAACTTTAAGGGAGAACAGAGAATCCCTTAACCTCTGAGCTGCCGTTTGTCTCGTTTTTACTTCAAAGTCCTGGAACTCTGCTTCCAAGAGCCTCCAGATGTTACCAACACCAGATGTTCCACCATCAGCTGAATGTATCTCCACCAACTGGCTCCTCTGGTCTCTGGTTCTGATCCGTGCTGCATCCATTCATTGATCCAGTAGGATGGATTCTCCTTCAGTCTCTGTGAGGAAACTCTGGCTGCAGATCAACCTGAAAGTTCTGAGTTGTTCTGGAGCGGGACCAAGACCAAGAAAAGGAACCCTCGATGTGAATACTTTCAGAAACTCAGGTTTTAAGGGAACTCTGGATTTGTTGTGTTTAAGGTTAGAAAAGGTTTGAAGCAGCAGAGGAACCGCGATGTGCTGACCCGTCCATCCGCTGAAACCTCCTCCTGATGCTGACGGGTCCAGAGGGTCTGGACCTGGTCCTGTGTCAATAAAGGCCTTGAATCCTTGAATGTCTTCTCCGTTATGGCCATAATTAATCATCCCCTAAACCACCAACGTCTCCATATTTGTTTTTGTGTTTGGATAAAACGTTTAACGATGTGAGAGCAGCAACGTGAACTAGACGACGTAGCAGTGAGTTTATTGTTACTGTTTACTGTTCAGGTGTTCATCCAGTGAGTGTATTTTAAAGAGCTACCTCCGGGTGGCGCTACGTATAAATCAGCTCTAACAGAACAGAGGCAGCGACGTGCAGCAGAGACAGTAGTTTCTGTTTCTCCACCTGTCACCGACTAACGAATCACTCGAGTCTCTAACGAGCTGAGCGTCTCTCAGTCTGCTCGTTATCTCGTAAGCCGAGACGATGGCGAGCCGGGATCGAGTCGTTTGGGCGTCCTGGTGATGTGATTGGCGCTCGGCGTCGTTACGGGGTGACAGTAACAACCTCTGATTGGCTAATTGGTTAATTGAAGATGAATAGCCACTTAATTGACATGAAAGCGTCCAATCACAGCAATTAATGTGAATTACCAGGCAATTAGGTGGAGTAAAGAGAGAGAGAGGCGAGGGAGCTGCGAGGGGAAGACGAGGACGAGCGCTCATTGTTCTGCTTCACCTTCATTCATCCAGGTGAACGTCTCATTAAGGACCAAACAGGAATTAAAGAGAAAAGTGAGGCTGCCGTGTGAAACCAAACGACTCGTTTCAAGGCTGACATTCTTTTATTCATGGAACTTACTCTCGTTTTATTTTGAAATCTCGACAGCTGTAGAGTTTTATTCACTAACTCAACCTGCTGGTTCTGATCCGCTGCCTCCGGTTCTACATCCCTCAACCTTCACATCTGAGCAGCTCTTCATGCAAACAACTCGCTGCTCGATGGTTCAACTTCAGGAGACACTGAATGAAGTCCGTTTGTTTTCTAGTGAAGCTCGTACGTTGGATTAATCACATTTTATACCTTTGACTTATTCCAGCACTTCCTGTCGAGCAGATTTCAGACTTTCAGTGAAAAGAATCAAGAAAACAAACGAGTGTTTCTTCTCCGTTTGTGGTTTTTTAGTAAACCTGCTGAAATATGATCAAACTAAATTCTTCAAGAACTTTATTTTATTTTATTTTTATTCATTGAAAGTGGAGGCTGGTACAAAACACGTCACTACATGGTGCGATGTATGACTGTGTGACAAATAGAGCTGATCTTATCTATGTTGTCAGCAGGTGGCTGAACGATAAACTCAACATGATGAAACATCGTCCAACAGCTGATTCACAGTTTGTAGACGTTGTTAAACATCTACAGCGTGTGAAGCCTCCATGTTTGTTTCCAGTGTTGCTAATTGGAGACTCCGGTTCTGTAAAGTGGATAATCAAAGATCTATTTTTTTAAATAATGATTCTAAATGTGTCATACTGTACATTTGAGCCATTGTTCTGTTTCCATAGAGCTGCAGGAATTATAGATTAAAAAATGTGCCCACAGCGGAGAGAAATGTGACAGAATAGAATAAAATCAAATAAAAAGAACAGCGGCTGTGCTTTGAGTTCGTCACTTTTCCACCAGTTTCAGGTCATGTCGACACTAATGAGAATCATTTCCAGATGAACACCTGACCCCACTTTATAAACACGTCCTCACGTTCTCTTTTTATTCCCAATTTAAATAATGTCCAAACTTCCAAGTCTTGACTTTCCCCAAAGTGTCCCGACTTTCCAAACATCTCTACGTGTTGCACGTTCTCCAAACAGTCCTGTCACTTTACGTCCTAACTGTGAGAAACACTGTCCTCATTTCCCCAAAAATCCAGAAATGTCCCGTCATTCTAAAAAGTCATCACTTGTGCCAGTTTCTCCAGAATATTCTAACGTTCTCACACGTCGCCGCTTTTTAAACACGTCCTCATAACGAACACCAGAAACTGTTCAGAGGGTTCAAACCCAGTTCAGGTCGGTCGAGTCACTTTTCCACGAGGTTCAGGTCACGTCGACACCAATAATGAGATTTTTCCAAACGAATATCTTCACCAAAGAGAATCCGTCGACACAACCGTCGTTTGTCACGTTTACAAATTAAGTTGTTAAAAATCTGCTGTTTAGAAGCCAAAATAAAATCCTGTCTGGTTGACCTGAAGTCCTGTTTGTTGTGAACGAGGCCAGAGGAGAACGCTGCAGAGATCAGCGCAGACGAAGCCTGAGATGAAGACTCTCAGGTTTTAGAATCAGGTTTAGAACCGACGCAGCTCTCGGTCCGCCTCCCCGAAAACATCCGTCAGCAGCCGACTCTTAAATCCCATCAGTCACGGAGTCCTTGAACGCATCAGCAAGGACAGATTTAAACGTGCAGCCTGAGTGTGTGTGTGTGTGTGTTTCCACCTTCACTGTTGACCTGCAGCTTTACTGTTGTTTACTGAACCATGTAATGACAGAAAGCAGCAGCTCTGACCTCCATCCTCACCGACAAACTGTCCGCTTTACAACCACAGCTCAATACGCAGACAAACTGTCGCCAGAACGCACAGAGTTCACTAACGTATGAACACACCTGCATGTGTCAACATGCTAACAGATGCTGCACATTGAAGGGTTTTCATGATAACACACTGGCCTGAATGTGAGGCCGGATGTCGTGGACGTGGTCTGACAGAGTGGAGGAAGCTTCCTGCCGTCTTATGGGCTGTTTGTAGCATTAATGTTGCTAAGCTAACGAAAGCTAACGAGTGCAACAACTGAAAATACATTATTGTCCTGTTTATTGACGATGTCGTCCTAAAATCAGCTGACTCATGTTAGTGCACAGTCACACACAGACACACACACCTAGCGTAGCAACCGGCTCTACGGTGGGTTCCCTCGTGTTGAGGGAACACCAGCTGGAGGACCTCCTGCTTCATGAGGACGTTCAGACCCGGCTTCACACGCTGGCCAGTGTGTGTGTGTGTGTGTGTGTGTGTGTGTGTGTGTGTGTTGTGTACCTCCATGCCGCTCACTCGTCCCTCCTGGAAGGAGCAGTCCTGCAGGTTGTTGGTACAAACGTGTCGATATTTGCACCAATGACACGGAAACACGCTGCTCACACAGGAAGTACACCTGAGACACAGACAAGACAGCTGATTGGTCGGAATTCATCACCTGAAATCACATGAGCTGAGAGGAAAGGAGGAGGCAGGAGAGGGAACAAGGAGGCAGGCAAGGAAACAAGGAGACTAGAGAGGAAACAAGGAGGCAGGCGAGGAAACAAGGAGACTGGAGAAGAAACAAGGAGGCAGGACAGGAAACAAGGAGACTGGAGAGGAAACAAGGAGGAGGAAAAATGAAACAAGGACACAGGAGAGGAAACAAGGAGGAGGAAAAATGAAACAAGGAGGCAGGAGAGGGAACAAGGAGGCAGGAGAGGGAACAAGGACACAGGAGAGGTAGGGAGGAGGCAGCAGTGTTCAGACTCACGAGTTGAGCACGGAGCAGTTGTAGTAGATGAGGCTGGTGGTGATGAACTGATGTCCGGTTTCGGTGGATCGGAGGCTCAGCTGCACGACTCGCTTCTCCCCTGAAACCAGCCGGATCAATATCAGTATCGGTACCGATCAGGCGGATCGATGCGGCGGAGGCTCGTACTCACCGTAGGACTGCGTCTGAGCGGGCAGGTCTCTGAGCGACGGCGACATGCACATCACCTGGCCTTTGGCCAGAACCTCGCCGGGCGACTCGCTGAGCTCCTCGAAGACGCAGGAGACGCCGCCGGACAGCGCCGGGACGTTCTGGACCCGGATGGTGAGCTGTAGAACCGCAGACGTTAGTCAGAAGGTTCTGACGGAGGTTCTAAGAGAGGTTCTAGCGGTGTACGGCTCTTTACCTGCGTGGCCGTGGAGGTGACGGACATGTTGCTCGGGGTGACGGAGATGTCGACGCATTGGTCCAGACGGGTGTTGAAGTGCTGAGGCTCCTCCCACTTGTCGCACGCTTCCTGTCTGGAGCACCTGGAGGCCGAAGGTCAAACTGGTCAGACTCTAATATCATCGATCGTTTTTATTTTATGTTGATTAGGAAACAGATTTCATATTAATTCATTTTTAATTTACACTCAAACAACGTCATCAGTTTATTTCACATTATTCACTCAGTTACTGGATTTATTTTTACATGATTTAATTTAAAAACATCTCGAGTCAACTTGAACTTTAATTTAAATTCATTTTTAAAACTTTTTTAAATATATTTTTAATGTGGAGGTCAAAGGTACAAAAACTTGTGGATGCACGTATATTTATTATTTAAAAATCAATCAGCATTTAATCATTTGGTTCTTATATCATTAAATATACCTTTAATATGATTCTATTTGAAATTAAAATTTAATAAAGAAATTCTTTCAAATATTTAGTTTAAATTATTTAACCAGCACTTTATATTATTGCTTAAAAAAAAGATATTATTAAATCACAATTTGTATTTTTCACTTTTAACCATTTAAATTAAGTAAATAAATGAAGAATTAAAAAGTTGCTTTAAAGGTATATTTTTAAATTAACTTGTTTTATTATTTCTTATTTTCAATTATTTTATCATTTTATTTATTTGCTTATTTAACAGTTTAAAAACTAATAACCAGAGTTTTTTTTATTATTTTATTTTAACAAATGTGTAATAATTATTCAATTATTTTTACATATTTTCTTGTTTGTTTTTTTTAATATTATTTATTTTGTCATATATTTACGTATTTTAATGAATTATTTTTAATCCTATTTTTAAGCCCTTCCTTCAGAACGTCGTGCTCTAGACTCGGTTCTCGTTGTTGAACAGCTGAGAGTGATTAAAGACGGAATGAATTAAATAAACGTGGTTATCGGTGCGCTGCAGGTTCAGTCGGCAGCATCACAGTAATGATGTGTTTCCTTCTAATTAACAGCAGATGGACGAGCGAGGAAGAGGAGGAGGAAGAGCGCCGTCCTTTTGATGAACTGAAGCAGCTCCACTTTGTTTCTCTGCTGAACGGCGGACCGAACCTTTAAAGCTGCTGCTGCTCGTTAAACTCGCTCACATCGGACGTTTCCACAGTTTTAACCTGAAACCGTCAAACTTGGACTCATGAAGACGTTTTGCTGCAGAAGACCTGAAAAACTGCTGCTTCCTGTTGTTTGAGTTCACTTCAACCCACCGACTGTCAGAGGCTTTTATTTTGTAGGGACGCTGTGTGTGTGTGTGTGTGTGTGTGTGAGCTATTCATAGAAACGTTAATGACGCCTCGGGGGAACACACACGTCACTTTTCTCCTCGATGTCTCTGAAGCGTCCGTTACTCGCATATTACTTAACAGGAAGTGACCAAAAGTCTGTGGACGGACAGACGGTCAGCAGCCTGAACAGCCAATCAGAGCGCAGCAGGAAGTGTTCAAGCTGAAACAATCTGCTGCCAGAGACCAGCNTCTTTACTGAAACCTACAGAGTTATTACCAACATTCAGGCTGCTGACGGAGTTTGACTGTTTTTATTTCCAAATTCAAACGCAGACATCAAAGACGTTCACGAGTCAGACTTTATTTAAGGACAACAGCTGCTAGAAAATGTCTTCATTTGGCCAGAAGCTAAAACTCAACCTTTACTCCCATCACATTTCTCCTTACTGTGAGCCGATTGTTCTCACTACAGTCTATTCTTTATTCTCTCCCATACAAAGTCCTGGACCTCCATGGAACCAGAGCCCAGAACCGAGGCAGCGCTCCTTCCTTCACACTCGGCCGCTACGAGGTCGGAATCGCTGGAAACCGATGCAGGAGGTGGAACGAGCAGAACCCTTCAGAGGGACGGAGGAGAAGACGGAGCGACAGCCGAGGAGACGTGAGATCGTTTAACATCCGCTGTCAGCTCCCATCAGCCTCTCATCCATCACATGAGCCTCCACACGTGAGCTCATCACATGACCGAGCTTCAGGACACGTCTG